CCCACCACAAACCAGAGCAGTGTGGTGAGCACAGCAAATAGTTCTCTTATTTCACAATGTGTACAGACTGATGCTTGCTGAGGAAACCTCCACACCCGATCAAGTCATCTTTTTTTTAACCCTCTTATCTAAACACTGTCACAAGCAGTCACACAAGCCCAGGACAGGGTTCATTCACTCAAAATACACTGCCTGAGTGGCTGTGACATCACTGGACAGATGCTCAGCTAGCCTCTGCCCCATCCCAGAGGCCACACAGGGTTCCAGCTGGGCACAGAAGTGGATTACAGCCTTGCAGGGTTTGCCGGCCAGCGGGAGAGGTGGGCACTTAAGACGGAGGGTCGTGGCTGGTTAAAAAGCGGAGGGGAGGCTGCTCCAGATTAAAATAGGCATAAAAAGACTAGCAACCAAATGTAGCATACAGACTTGGATCCTGATTCAAACAAACCAATTCCGAAGGTCCTTTCGGAGACCATCCGGGAACTCTGAATACGGACAGATGAGACCGAAGAACTATTGCTCATTTTATTACATGCTATAATGGCAATGTGGTTACGAAAAAAAAACACATTCTTTTAAAAATAGATATATACTGGGTTAGATAGGGGCAAAATGACATGGTATCAGAGATTTGCTTTAAAATACTTCAGGAAGAAAAGACAGAAGGGGAGAAAAATAAAGAGATGAAGCCAACCCAGCGTAATCTTGATGACTGTTGAAGCTAGATAATGAGTATATGGGGCTCATTATATTATTGTCTTTATTTGTTTGAAAATGTTCGTGGATATGGTAAAATAGAGGATGGCAGTACACTATGGTGGACAGCTTAATGAAGACTGGTACAAAAGGCTAAGGGAATACGGAGCAAAGAGCAAGGAGGATTTGTAAGAACCAGGAAAGAAATCTGCTAAGTTTTGTGAGGGTTTTAAAAGCCATTTCATAGTGGGGTGGGAAGCCATGTTCACAAAGAATTATAACAGAAGTTGGGGACTAGTGAATGCAGCGAGGGAGCGGCCCACACCACCCCTCCAGACTACAGAGCACAGCCACCAGATTTTCCTGCTTCCTTCAGTCCTTAACTCACTACCTCAATCTCATTCATACAGACTGAGACCAGAAGCCTAGCTTGGTTACTCACTAGCCACGTGAAGCAAGCGGGGGAGGGGGGTACTTTCAACCTTCCCCAGTCTCAGTCGCCTCATCTATAAAATGGGGACAACCCCAGTTACTTCTTTGGAGGGCTAATATGGGGACCTAATGATATAAACAGTGAAAATTCCCCGCATGATGAACAGTATTCCCTTCCCTGGCTCTTTAAACAACAGAGACTTTTAGCCCTGGCAGGGCTTCTAAGACGAGCAATGTTCAGCCCAAATTTTCTTGCGTCCATACTCTACCCCTCCAGCCAGAATGAAGGCTCTCCACCAAGAAGGCAGGACCTCTACCCTTCAGAAGCAGGGAGTGAAAGGAACAGGTCCATGGTTGTTGACAGGCACACCCAGATGAGGGTATGGACATGGGCAGAGAGAAGAAACACACCCCAATTATAGGCAGAGGAGGGTTACCCAACTGTTCCTTTGCTCCTTGCTGCTCCTAGGAATGGGCCTTCAATGAACATAGCTAAAACCAGCTTTAGTCCATAAGATGCTTTTTAGTAAAGTACAACTGGTTGGTATTAGGCTAATCATGATTTTCTTTTAGAAGAGAGGGATGAGCAGAAAGCCAGAGCTCCAGGACTGAAGAAGGAAGGCAGCACAGATAAGAAGATCTGGGGATCTCAATCACCTTACAACCATAACTAGTATAGCTCAACAACTGTCCCCCCGAAACAAAACAAACAAAACCAGGATCAGATCTAAGGTAGAGGTTATTTCAGCTAATATTCTTCCTAGACTATCCCAGAAACCAACTTTCAGAGGTGAGACCAAGTCAATGGCACAGGCAGGCTTCCTCCCCAGCCCCGCACCCCCCATAGTACCCAAACACCAGCAGGTCAAATCCCTCCCCAGTACAGCATGACCAATACCAGCCATTCATCCCTGACCAGAGGACAGAGTGAGCAAGTGGTCTGCAGGTTGAACAACCTGGGCTAACCAGGGTCAGTTCAAGTGCTTTGCCAAAGAAGCAGCCTCTGAATCTTGAGACAGAATCTTTTCAAAGGCCAGGAGGCTCCAATCAGCACAAGGGAGTGCCATGATCCTGCAGACATCACTTTCTAGAGCCACAGGGCAGCAGGAAGAACACTGAATATAGTTCTGGCAGAGCCTGGTCCAAATCCTGGCTCAGCCACTTTCTGTGTGACCTTGGGCACTTATGCTACCCGAGTCTGTTTCCCCACATCTAAAATGAGGAGGGCAAAACTGAGTGTTTGGAAAATAACCATGAAATCTGCTGCAAAAGTGCCACAGGGCAGGCCCTGTCTGTCCGTAGGCACATAATAAATCTGTCTTCTGCCCAAAGGTAAGCTCTTCCTGCAAGGAGTCTTCAGAACATCAGTTGGGGCTGTCCTGGAGACTTGAGGCCCACTTGTTGGCCCCAGGAAGGGGACAAGAACAGAGCTGGTCCAGGTGCCAGGCACCCAGGCACATAAACACCAGAGGGCCAACCCGCTGCTGGCTTTCTTTCCAAGGGACCTGCCCACAAGGGGGCCAGCTAGTGACTTCACCCCCCGGCCCCCCACTGCCTGAAACCACAGAAGACTAGAGTGAGCAAGGGAGGCTGACAGCAAGAAGGTCCACATACTGCCACCTCAAGTCCCACAAGGCAGGATGGCCCTCCAAATAAAAGCTCTTTTGGCCTTAAGAACCCAGGTTACAGAATTAACAACGTGGAAAGAGGCACACGTTTACTCTGGTTTCAACACGCCTCTTCCCCATCCAGCAAAGGCTATGATTCCCAGCTCTGCAGGGAGGCTGGCCTAGGATAAAGTTAACCCCACTTGCTCCAGTCCGGAAGCCAGGTCAGCGGTGGCAGACGCTGCCGGCAAGACCCCATTTCTTCCCAGAGCTAGTACGGACGACGACAACGAAAAGGGAGCCGCAGACGCCCCCGCCGGGTGCTCCGAGGCCTGGGGTGCGCCTGGGCTGCTGGGGGATACACGACAGACAGGACAGCGCCGCTGTCCCCTGACCACCTCCACGCCCGGGCCCCAGACTCAGTCCCAATCCCAGCCCGCAGGCGGCCAGGCCACTGACATTTGGCCCATCTTAACTTCCTGTTGTTAAGGAGGGAGAAGAACCGTGGCGGGTAGGGAAGCGCCCAGTGAAGAGCCGGGAAAGAGCGTGAACAGAGCAGAGCCCAAATTATGGGAAAGCAAAGTTTGGGGATGGTCTGCCCCTGTGGCATGCGGTACTGCGGGCGCGTCGCGCCCACTCCGTGTTGACGTTTGGGGATTTTCTCGGCTTAGAATTGCAGGGTTTGGGTGTTGGGGCGGAGTAGGAGGTAGTTCGGGGTACGGGTGGCAGGCTTTTATTGCGTTCTAATCGATTCAGAGACCTATCGGGCAGCCCCAGCCTCCCCGGGCAGGGCCACCTGCTTGCCGGACGCCCCGCGGGGTGGGTTTGAAGCGAGAGATGCTGCGGCCGCACCTGACTGTCCCCGGCGCGGGCCAGGGCGCAGAGTCCAGGCTCGGCTGCCATGGTCCCCGCCCGCCCTCCAGACCCTCCCTCCCTGGAGCCCCGCACCCCACCCTCCTTACCGAGATCCGCGCCAGCCACCGAGCCTCGGGTCAGCTTCTGCCTTCACCTCGGGCCGCGCACGCGGCGGTCAGGACCCGCAGGCCGCCTGCGGAGCTGGGAGCTAGGGAGGCAGCCCCGCGCAGCCTTAGCCAGGCGAGCGCCTGCACTTCTGCGCCGCGCGGCTGACTGCGCTGGGAGCCGCCCCCATCGGCGGCGCGGCCAATGACAGAGCGGCTGGGGGCGCGCCCCGCCCCCGACCCGAGGCCCGCGGCCAATGGCAGTGCGGCGCGGAGCCCACCCCAGCTCCACGCCCGCTCCGCCCCCACGGGGCCAGCTGTCACCGCGTCTGCCGGCGGGCGCACGTGGGCTGTAGCCGTGCCCCGAGCGCAAGGAGCCGCGGGCGCTCCCACCCAGACCAGCACAGGTCTGAGACCAGCGGGGGGCCGATGAAGGCGGGGCGTAATGGTGCTGCTAGATGAAAACCTGGGTGCTAGTATCCTAGTGTAGGCGGAGAGGCAGGGGCTGGACCTCAGGCTCCTTGGTCTGGGCAGCTGGAAAGCAAGCCTCAGTTTCCCCTTTTGGAAGTGAGGGAGCAGCATGGCACTTCCTGTAATGGCTGTGGACCTCCCTCCTTGCTTTTGCTCTTGACCAGCCGGGCTTCAGCAAACGCCCTGTTAGCTGATAGGCTCTTCCCCTCACCTGGACCGGCCTTGCTTAGAACGCCGCTGGTGGGAAGAGGTGGCCGTAGTGCAGACCAGCCACGTGACCTTAGTCACATCACCTAAGCACCCTCTTCTCTTGACTGTCAAATGGCTGCCTTAATCTCTTCTCTGCCCACGCTCCTGGGTTGCCCATACGCCCTCAGCCTCAGAGAGCACCATCCACAGAAAACAGTGTGAACAGGTGGGGCCTAGTGAGGGCTGCCAAGCGGCTTTGTACACCAACAAACTTGTGCAGACTGCCCCGGGCATAGCAGTGATCATGAACACGGATCCCAGGGGCAGGGGCCCTGTCTTACTCACCTCTGGAGCCTGGGCTCTTATCACTGGCTGGGCCTAATGCAGGCATCCATGAATGTTCTGGGAACTGAGCTGACCCAGGAGAGAACAGGCAAGCTTGGGTGGTGAGTAAAGAGTGTTGTGGCTCAGGCTGCTAGAATTTCCACAGCTCCAGACCACCCTCTAGAGAAACTTTGTTCCCTTGCCAGGCACGTAGAAACAGAACAGCTTGCCCCCATCAAACCTGGGGCTTTCTTTGTTCTCTCTGCTCCTTACCAGGGGATCCTACTCCAGGCCTTTTGGGGTTTCCCAGGGATTGTCCTACCTGGTAGCTCTCTTAGCATCTTCAGAGTTCAATCAACTTCCTGTAGTTGAACTTCAGCAAAAGCTGTCCTGCTCAGTTTGTAGAAGTCAGCAGTGACTCCCAGAGCGGCGGCTCTCCTCTTGACGGAACACTGCCTGCGATGCCCGTGGATGGAGTGGGCTCTGTGCACATTTTCTCAGTCCTGATGATGGCTCTGTAAGGTCTGTATCTTTGCTATTGTTCCCTTTAACAGATGTGGAAAGTGAGACTCAGTGAGGGAAAGGTACTTTTCAAGGTCACACGGTTAATAAGTAACAGGGTCAGAATTTGAGCCTCAAGCTATCTGATCCCAGCCTCTGCATGCCTAACACTGTGCATGGGGCTGCTACAGCCCTGCTCGCAGCTCGAGAACACTGGGCAGGCCCCGTCTATCTCTAAAGGAACTGCTCTGGAGCCTGACCTGCCCAAACATTCTGCTGAGCTCAGGCCTGGGCACTCTTAGGGCCAGGAGATGAGACCAGCATGGCCCTGCTTTATTTACAGACTGATATAGGAAACGCTAGACAGAAAGGAGCTTCGGGAAACGGTGTTGCCTCTGCCCCCAGCACAAAGCCTCACTGGACATAAGGCCTCTTCCTTCTGGCCTGGGTCTGAGGCAACCCTGTTGGGGATGGAGCTGGGGAGAGTCATTCATTCAGTTCACAAATGCTACTGTGAGCTGGACGCGGTTCCTGCATTCATGTAACTTACAACACAGCTGATAAATAACCAGAAGTACAAGGGGCTATGGGAGTTCTATTCTTTATTACTTGTATCTTTTATAATTCCCATCACCTCATCTCTAGCACAATATTCTCCAAGTTAAACACATTTAACACTACTTCAGGAACACTTTGGGCCAACTAGTTTTGCAAGAACACTGCTCAGTATAGAAGTTCTAGTAGCTCAAAAACTAAAACTTAGCCGTGCCTTCCTAGGAGCTTTGCCTCTTCTCCCTGACCCAAACTTTTTGTTTTGTTTTGTTTTTCCCACCCCACTTTTTTAACTCAGGGGCTCAGGTAAGAAAGAACCTTGCTAGGTGAGCTTTTAGGGCAAGCTGGGAGTTTATGGGGGCTTAGTGCATGGATGGAGATAATATCGCCTTGGGACCTCTTGAGCCAGGGCCCCTCACCTCCACACACAAGTTACCCTTCCTGGCCATCTCGCTGCAGGGTAGAGAGAAATGGGAGACAGGAGATGACAACCTCACCCCCTCTGGACATAGCAGCAACCATGGCATCTCCCACTGGACTGTGTGTCTAGGAGTTTATACAACTAAGCTCTTCAAAGAGAAGGTCATGCAAAGTTAGAAGGGGCCATAGAGAAAATACCATCTAAGCCCCTCACTTAACAGATTAAAGAAATTTAAAAAACAAATGGAGTCCCAGGGAAGGGAAGGCGCTTGTGAGTGTCAGGGAGTGTGGGAATGGGTTCCAGGTCTCTGAGGCCCCGGCCTCCCTCTTAGCACACAGGCAAGCTCAAGCTCCTCGTGCCACGACTCAGTAAGCTATATTTAATAATAATCCCTTCCCCAACCCACTCTTCTCAGGACGGTGAATGTGTGCTGCCGAAGGTTGTCTGGGAGATGCAGATGGCCACATTAGCATCAGAGGGAGGGAGAGAAGGCAGGCCCAGATTCATCCCTAAAAATATCTGCATCTCAGACTGAAAGCCATGGGTTTACCAGCACATGCGTGCCTCCCTCGAGAAAACTTCAGCTGGTGATCTCCATCATCACTGGTTATCTACCTGACGGTACTCCAAGACTGCTGTGGGGGTGGCAGGCCTGGCTTCTTTTTATTTCAAGCCCGGCAATTTGCTTGAAGAAAGGTCAGAATTGAACTAAGTGGAATGCAAAGATTTTCTGTGGAGAAGCTAGGGTGCTTCTTATGACATTTGAAGGGCAGGGAGAAGAGTGAGACCACCTGTGTCTCCCCCTCCAAATGAGACAGGGTCCCTGCCCTCGGGCCCCTTCCTCATGTACTTACGTTCCAGGAAGGGGTAAAACAGTATGGTTCTCACCAGTTCCTGCCCATGCTGCTATCAAAGGCCCTTGGGCTTTCGGAAGGAAGTGGAAGGCTGGTATCTATGCAAAGTCTGATGACCTTCTTAAATGATGAGAAAAGGCTGACTGGCCCCAGGCCACCTTGGGAGCTCTTTGGAGAAGGACTTTCTAAGCCAGGAAGTGGAAACATTTGTACCTCCCTCAAACAGACACAGGAGTGCAAGATCACTGGGGCCTTGTTCTAGCCCGTTATCTTCCTGATAGGCCTCACAATGCCCTATGTTTCATAGATAAGACATATGTTTGCAAGGTCACTAGGCACTCATCTGGCCTACCACATTTTCAGTGGGTTTTCCAGAGATAGCTGGGGGAGAAATGGCACCTATCAAAGTCAGTAATGCCCTCAGAGAGACCGTAGCACTTTGGGGAAAGTGTGCCTATTGGCAGCAATGATGGGAAAGTCGGCTCTGGAGAGCTGAGAGCAGGCAGGAGATGACATAAGAAAGCAAACAGAGACAGTAGGTGTGCAGGGGGTGAGAGGAAGAGACACAGGGTTATGAAAGTAGTCTAGCCCCACCCGCGCAAGGCTCTCCCAGGAGCCAGCATACGGCAGGGTGAATCTGCCTGGCTGACATCTGAGCCTGTGTTCTATACACTCTCCCGGTTACAAGACTGGGCACAGCTCCCAGGCCCGGCCGACCATAGAGCCCCCATGGTGACTGGTCCAACAGACATGCCGGTGGTCCAAGCAGACTCCGTCTTCAGGACCAGTGTATAGATAGAGCTGTCTCTTTCCACAGAAGTCAGGGCTAGCAGTCAGTGTATTCCACATGCAGTAGAAAAGACCTAACCACAACAGGAGAGAAAGAGACTCCTAGGACAGAAGAGACCGGAAGTAAGAGCTCCAGCTACCTTTCTTTACAATTCTCTTGGCTCTGCCCTCCTCCGTGTTGGCTTTGTCTTCAGGCTGGTTTTCCTCATCGCAGCCAGTGCCAACAGCTTTTCTTGCCAAAAGCAACCTTATCCCAAAGAGAACATTTCTGACCCAGCATTCCAAGCAGGAGTCCTGAGACGCACTCTGCCTGGATTGGGTCACATGCCCACCTGAACCCCTAGGGTAGCCAGAGGACTGGAATGTGCTGATTGGCTGTGCCAGGCGGGGCCCCTGCCTGGGGCGGGCGGCCTCAGCTTCCCCAGAGACACCAGGCTGTGGGGGAGAGAGGTGGACACTTGATTGAAAGCTGAGTGCAGTGGGAAAGGAGGGACACAGGGCCATTTGCTGGGTTGGTACAGACCAGGGCAGGCATGAACTCGTAGAAGGAATTCATGCTTTTTACCTCTCAGAAAGTCATGTCATTCTGACCTCCCCTCTATTATCCACTACACACTTCCACCCACCCACATACCAACCCCCCATTAAACTCTTCTCTAGCTTCAGTGTGTTCTGTAGTAAATACATTTTAATTAAAATCGAATTCCTGTCCAACTGCTTTTCTCTTCAAATCTTTCCCTTCGATGCAGTTTGGATGGCAGGAGACCACGCAGTGCAACCTGGCCCCTGATTGGTTCAGAAGGGGTCATTCGCGCCTGGTCAGATGAGTGGGGTCTGCAGGGGCCCTCGGGGTATCACTGTGATGGAGCCGGAGTCAGCTTCACAGGTCAAGTTCTGGTGGAAAGCGCTCAGGCTCCAAAAGTCTGCTTCCAACCTCTGCTCTCCCTAATAGCGTGACTTCCAACGAGCCAGTTAATGAAGATAATAGCCCTTGCTCGTAAGGGCAGAGTATGGATCACATCAGATGCCAGACATGAAGGCTTACTGTTGACCTCATGAAGTGTTAGTTGCTTTCTCCCCTACTTTGTAAGTGTGGTGGTTTTATATCCTAGCAACCTGCCAAGCTAGAACTGGGTTTCCCAGAACTCTCTTTCGTGGATGGTTCCCAGGGAGGACTGGCCGCTAGGCACATGTGCGCGAGATGAGGAAGGTGGACGTGACCACAGGCCGCACACCTGGAAGGTCAGCGCAGGGCTTTAGGCACCTGTGCGGCGCATGAGCGTTGCTGATAGAGTGGGGGTGGGGGGCAGTAGCCAGGCTTCTGGAGATAGCTTCCTCCGGCATCCCTGAGTCCAGGGCCATGCACATGAACCAATTTGGCAGAACGTATAAGCTGCTTCTAAGAGTCACTACTGCAGTGTTAAGGTTGGAGGTGGTAAGAAATAAACACGAATTCTGGCTCCTGGAATTCCGAGTTCAGTTTCCTCTTGATTTCTGCCACTCCACATCCAAGTTTTCTTCTCACTTGCCAGCCCTGTCGATGGACACAACTTCGGGCCCACCAGCAGACACGAGGCGCCTGCCTTCCAGAGACCTCTTCACCCGCTCCTGCAATTGTGTTGTGAACTCCAATCCCTATGACAACCCTTATTCCCTATCACATTAATGGTCCTGCTTCCCGGATCGAACCCCAATATGAGGGGAAATAAAACTGCCACTTCCTGTGAGCCTACTGTGGGCTCATACGTTATTATTCTTCACAACATCCCACTGGGATTACTTCTGAGAATTACTGATTGAGATTATCACCCCTATTTTACACTTTGTATATTAGTCAGCATTCCAGAGAAGCAGAACCAATAGGAGACATCGAGAGATAGATAAATGGATTTATTATGGGAAATTTGCTCATGTGATTATGGAAACTAAGTAGTCCCACAACCTACTATCTGCAAGCTGGAGACCCAAGGAAGCCAGTAGCATAGTTCTAATGAGTCTGAAGGCCTGAGAACCAGAGAGCCAAGGGTGAGAGTCCCAGTCCAAAGGCAGAAGAAGACCAATGTTCTAGCTCAGCAATCAAGCTAAGAGAGTGAATTCTCTCTTCTTCTGCCCTTTTGTTCTATTCAGGCTCTCAAGGCTTTGGATGAGGTCTGCTCCCACTGAGGAGGACAATGGCCTTCCTCAGTCTACCAATTCAAATGCTAACCTCATCCAGAAATACCCGCCACAGACACTCCCTGAAATCATGTTTAATCAAGTATCTGGGGACCCTGTGGTCCAGTCAACTTTGCACATAAAGGGGCGCCTGGGTGGCTCAGTCATTAAGCATCTGCTTTCGGCTCAGGTCATGATCCCAAGGTCCTGGACTGAGTCCCACATCAGGCTCCCTGCTCAGCGGGAAGCCTGCTTCTCCCCCTCCCACT